CAAAAGTTCAAACAATTAACAGAGCTTTGACTCTGAGTATGAAGAGTAAGTCAAGCTGCTGAATAAGAAAGGGTCATTTTTTTGAGAGTAGTCCTGTATTTCAAATCACAGTCTGCATCAAGGGTGGCAAGGAGGAATGCTCTCCCAATGGAAACTGGGGCCAACTGTTTATTTTAGGCAGACACAACGTTTTGTGGAAGGCCAGTGGAGCTTGTTCCCTGTGCCAGTGCTTGAGAGGGTGTAGTGCACATTTTCTCTTGCTTAGGCTTTCTGGCCTTTGAGGATGGATGGTGTCACAGTGCCATCTCTTTTCTGTTCCATCACTTCGAGTGTTGGCAACAAAACAAGCTTAGTGAGAGCACAAGGAGAAAGGTTTCTTTATTCCCTGACTATATACAGTTCAGCATAGTTGAACTGTCAACTATGTAGGCATGGGGTCTAATGGAGATTAATCGGTTTGGCTATAGGTTTGCTCAGGCATACTGACTCCTTTCAAATATATTAATTTCCTTTCCAACGTATCATCTTCTATTACAAAATAGGATGCAACATCATGCAACAACATAATTAATACACTATTGATATTTATGGGAATTTAGACCCACTAGCAGGCCTGCAAAATAGGTTTTGGCTTTAAATAATACGTTTATTTGGCTTTTGATATTTTGATTTAAGTAACATCTGCTGAAATAAGATGTAGCCTATGAAAGTTCATGCCTCTCTGGGCAAGTTAGTCTATAAGTACCACCCTCCCCCCACCTTTTGATTAATTAAGTTCATACTTAAAAACTCATAGCTATAAACACAGGGTCTAAATATTTACTCTTTAATGAAAGTGAAGTTCCTCATATATTCACATGATTCTAGAAAGTGAGACTTTAAGAAAAATACTAAATATAATGAGATTTAGGAGAAAATTGAAGGAAGGAGCAACAGCTTTTTTTGAGATGTTTCTCCTTATTTGAGCCACATAAACATTAGTCTCCGCAGATGTTACTTCACGTGTAAACTACAGCTTACCCAGGTGAGCAGTATTATAAACACTGGGCTTTGTGATCAAAACTACAAATGATGGAAAAACTCAAGTGTCAGTTGCCAATCCCATAGATGCTTAAGAGTTATATTGATGGATTTTTGTTCCATGCTGTGGCTGAAAGCAGAAATTACAAGAAAAAAATATTACTGTGACTGGAGTGAGCAATGCAATTTAAAAATAACTGTAAAATATAAATTTACATGAAAAGCGGCACCCTGTGTAGCTCTTAATAATTTCTTACCAATATAATCCATTTGGGAGGATTAATTAGACAATATTATGGGCTAAAATACTTAAATAGGTTGACAAAACTCACTTCCAATATTCTTTAACTTGACATTATCGGTCTGATTTTACTTTAGAGTTTCTGATGCAGGCTGTAGGGGAAGGCTTCTGTAAGGCAAATTCTGATACTACCAAGCCATAACAGAACCTAATTTGTAGGCATCTTATTGTGTAGTTGAATCCATAGTCCTGAGTTTAAATAGTCTTCCCATGTGATACATGGGGAGAACTGGACGACTGAGAATAGTCATCTAGATAGGAATCAGCTAAAAATATTCAAAACTGTACAGTAAACAGGAAAGCCATGTCTTTAATGAGAACAGAGCAGGACTTTTTAAGATTATTAGCTTTACCACAATGGAATACATCTGTTTTAACCTTTGCAAACGTAACTCCAGAAATCATGTGCATGTTGGTAATTCTATGGGAATAAGTACTGGAACATAGAACCGTTCCTGGCTCCAGGAGGGAAGGCATAAGGACTGTGAAAGAGTCTGAATTCTATGGAGCTTTTAACATCAGGGAAGTAACCACAGAAAGTGCTAAATAATTAAGCATTAGTGAGTGTTGCCCAGTAACTGAGAGTACAGCAGTGTAGTGGTTTTTCTATGTACTTGCCTTTGGGTAAATATTTGGGCTTTGAAGCTTGAAGTGACAGGTGACATTGTAACAGCTTGCTCTGTGCAAGGTATTTCACTCTCTCTTTATTCATAGACCATGTATTATACACAGGTTCCCTGTGCAGGCCTCCTTAGTGGATGTAGTCCTTATATAGCCTGAAAATAATAGCTTCCCACAGGTTTCAGTGGTGAGTGGCTCTCCTGAGATTGTTAATAACTACTAATAGACATAAACCCTGTATGACAGACTCATTTAATCATGCATCCTAATCAATGTGTTCCTGGGGGAGACTGCAAAGCATCTGGTTTGACAAGCCAACAGCTAGATGTTGTTTCATCACACCCAACTGCTTTGGTCACTCAGGCTGCTTGTGCATGCCATGGGAGTTTACTTTGGTTTAATTCTAAATTGAAGCGGTGGGTTTTTAAAAGTAGTTTAAGGCACAATACGCTGCTGACAGTATAAACATCAGTGCCATTAAAGTGCAATATGCTGCTGACAATCTAAGCAGCAACACCATTAAAGTGGTGCAAAAGGGCATTTAAGCTGCTTTAAAGGCCAATTTTGTAGTATGTACAAAGGTCCTCAGCTTTTCCTGTAGTTACAGTTAGAGTTTGATTGAGAGCTGCCTAACTGAATCTGGATAGCGTGTTGAAAGAAACACACCACGGAAAGGTAAGAGTGCTTGTGTAGTCCCTCTGATTAGGAGAGTGTCATTACCTTTTTATTTTAAAACGATACTAGTTAGGGATCCTGTTTGATTCCAGACCATATCTGTTTGTCCAGCAACCAGCAATGTGTAATAAATAAGATTATTCTTTTTTTCTCTTGGCAATCAACACTGTCCTAGACACCAGTACCTATGTAACTTCCACGTTGGATTACTGCCAAGAACTGTACTCAGGGTTGCCCTTGAACACTACTCAACTTCAGTTCATGCATAATGCAGATGTCCACTTAGTAAACAAAATTTCGTGCTGACAGCATATTACACTTGTGCTCCACAGACTGTACTAGTTTTCATTATCTTTCTAGGTTCAGTTCAGGGTAATAGTTCTGGTTTGTAAGGTTCTTTAAGCTTTTGGTTTGTGCAGCTGGGAATGCAGCTTTCTTCTGCACCGTCCAGATCAATTTTTGAGAATGAATGAGATTCTGAAGCTGACAGTTCCTAGCTGTCAGGAACTTGGCTGCAGTCAAAACCATTTGTACCTTGGGTGGGTGAAGTTAGCTTGGAGGGGAGCCCAAGGCTCTCAAATTCACTTCCATCATGGTCTGAAAAACCAAGCATAGTTAAACTTAAGCATGTTTAGTCAGGCTTTTCTGGAGGAAGTTCCTTAGAAATTAGAAGAGGGTGAAGGCAGGAGGGTTTTAAGTCTTTCTGACATCGTGTCACTGGAACTGATTGTTCATGCGTATTTTCAAAGTTGTTATTGTAAGTTCATCTCAAGATAAGGAGTTTAACCCTGCTCTCATTGGGCAAATCTACATATGTAATTAATGCACCTGAAAAAATGCCAGCACTGTTCATGCCAGGGTTTATCGCTCCTGGGCACAGCATGTTGAGCTGAGGAGGCGCAGCCCTGGCTGGCAGGTGGGCCCCAGAGGTCAGTCTGCCAACCTGGAGCTGCTTTGACCTGGTTCAACATGCTATGGAGGGACTGACTGGGACATGAGGTTGCTATAGTGTCAGACTAGCCAACAGGTAGCCCCTGCACTATAGCATCCTCAGGCCCCAGCCAGCCCCAGTGACTGTCCACACATGCGTTGCAGTGGGGTAAATAACTGCGCCGTAGGATAGTACTTGTCAGGCAGTACTCCTATGGCAGAGTGAATTACTGTATTTCATGATGTATAGTTTGTCACAGTGTATAAGATGACCCCATTTTAAGATGATCCAAAAAGTTAGGAATTTTATAGATCTGGTGTATAAGTTGACCTAATTTTTTGGATCAGAAATATGAGGTCAACTTATACCAGCCCCTGCATGTCCTCACTGTGGGTCAGGCACCTGGGAGGGGGAACACCTGGGAGGGGGGACACGTGCCACAGCACCACTTGCAGGGGACAGGGACAAGCTTGGCTGGCACTAACACATCCCCTGCAAGCAACACTGCTGAGTGCTGAGCCCAGCCCCATACCCTGTGAGCAGCACTGAGCTCAGGTGCTCAGCTGGAGCAGCCCAGTAAGCACCGCTCGCAGGGGATGAGGGCACATCAGCTGAGTGCCAAGCCCATCACTGCTCACAGGGGACAGGGATGGGTTTGGTGCTCCGCTGGCATGCCCCCATCCCCTGCTAGCAGTGCCGCCTGGGCCATGCCAGCCAAGCACTGAGCCCAACCCCATCATCAGTGAGTGGCACTACCATGTCCTATCCCCTGTGAGTGGCACCAAGCTCAGCTGGCATGGTTGGGTGGGGTGCACAGCAACACCAGTTGCAGCAGACAGGGCTAGGCTGCAGCAGACAGGCCTCATCCCCTGCGAGTGGTGCCAGGCTCAGTGATTGGCTGATGCAACCCAGGCAGCACCACTTACTCCTTGGGTGCATGTCCCTTGTGTCTTAATTTATCTAACAGTAGAATTGACGCAGTAGTTAGCTACATCACACAGGGATTATTGGCCTCAGTGGACTTTGGGCCATGGCCAGAGATAGTTTTGGTGTGTAAAGCATTGGGGGCTAACCTTCTTGGCAGGTGTACCACTCCAATCCCCTTCCCCAGCCTGATTGGCTGCTCTGTTTTCTGCCTTCTCTCTGCTCCCCAGTCTACCAAGAGCCAAACACAGAGGCTGCCCATGCCATTTGTGGCTTGAATGCTACACGTTGGTCATGCTTGTTGCTTTGCATAATTAATTTCTGTGCTTACAGAAAATTTTGGAAAAGAAATCATGTATTTTTTCTTATCCTTTATTCTATTATATGAAAAATATTAGAATAAATGAACAGTTGACTTTAAATGTAATAAGTTTATTTTTGGCTGGGGAATGAAGATGAATTTCATAGTGGGACTGTTTTGCTGTGCTATGTATTGACACAAATATTAGTAGTTTGATCAATTATATAAGAATTACTATTTTTATTCAATTTACAAAGTAACAAGTTTTACACTGCCATAAGAAGGAGATAAATCCTTAAGTCATATTAGGACTTTCATGTTCCCTATTGAATAAGAGATTATGAATATAATACACAGGATTATTTTTAAATGTTAAGGTGGGGCATTTTGCATGATGTTTTTTAATTAAGTTTAAACAATGTAAATTATCCATAATCTCAAATAATTTTCATTTTTCAACACAAACTTTGAACAGTAGGGCAAACATGGGTTTTACAATAGCTGATATCTTTTGCTTATTACATCATTTCTTAAATGAACATTTTTTTCCAAAGGCAGACATTGCTTCAGTTGTTTGATCAGTTGCTTTCTCCCCACCATCTTGAGCTGTCTTGCAAATGTGATCCATAGCTGAAAAAGGGAAGAAGCTCACATAAATGCTGTGTCTATATATCCAAGTACACATAAATATTTACTATGGAAAGGGAAGGTGAAAGACTGTATCCCCATGTTTGTTATGCCTAACTATATATTATTCAGTGTATCCTTATGCTCATGTTTACTATTTCATACCATGCACCAGCAGCTTATATTAATGAAAAAAGGCTTCTCTCTGGTGCTTATTGGTGTTTAAAAGTGATGCTGGTGAGTGATGAATAGAGCCTGGTTCAAATTGCAGGCCCAGCTCATGGCATGGCATCTCCTTTAATCCTGTAGTTCCGTATGTGTCCCCCTATCACTTATTGACAGAGGGGCCCAGTAAGCCACACCACTTGCCGCTCACTCCTGATGGCCAGAAGGTGAAGACTGTGGTTTTAAATATGCTCCACTTGCTGCTGACTGGATGGGAGGCAAAAACTGTCATATTTTAAACCACAGTTTTTGCCTCTCAGCCCTCAGGAGCAAATGGCCAGCAGCAGAGTGAATGGGGTCCCTCTGCCAATCAGCGGTGGAGGGGGATTCATGGAGGGAACTCCAAGATTAAAGGAGCTGCTGCAAGGAACTGTGAGCTGGGCCTGCAATTTAAACTGGGCCCTGGTGATGAGAGAGAGAGAGAGACAGAGGCTAGGAACTGCTGGGCGGACGTGCCTGGTGGGTGCTTATGGGTTCTGGGATTGGGTGTTATTAGCTATGGTGTAGGTTGGTGGGATGAATAGTGTGGCAGTGTCTGGTGGCTGATTGTGATGGCTGATGGGTGTATGTTAGGCGCTGATGGAGAGGGTAATGGTGCTGATAAGTGCAGTAAGCTGCTTCTTACCCAGCAAGTGTATGTGTAATGAATTACCACCTTCAGCATGCAATGAGCTTATGCTGTGAGAAGCGCAGGAACAAAACAGTTGGCTTCCTGCCATTAAGTGAAGTACAGTGTAAGAAGCGTGTGTGGGGGCAGTGTTTTGGCAGGCAGAGATTTAGCAGCAGCAAGAGGGGTGTCTTTTTCTTTCCTCCTTTTACTAACATTGCTGTTGTCCCAATAGTGGTCATATTTTAACAGTTTTACCACATTCTCTCTATGGTGTCCCAACCCCCAGTGGGAATTTGCCTGCCCAAGAGATCTATTAGCTTGAGATTTTCAGTTGACCTTTTAGACCCTGACAATCCTAATTCTTCCTTTATTCATACAATCTATTTAACGTTCAGTGCATTTTACTTCTTTCTTTGTCAAGGTTGGCAGTTCTTGTCACCAGAAAGAAACTACTTATACTCTTCACACTAGTTCTACTGCCATTTAATAATTAACAACATTGCCAACTTAGCAGGCACCTTGAGCTCCATGTGATGAAGCCAGGGTTAGCATTATTATGGACTCCTGCCCTCAGAGCTGGAGAAATCAAGATGCTTTGCCTGCTTCCTTACCCTCTAAGAAAGAAGGGGCAACATTTGGATTGTATCACTGTGATTGGTGATGAACCCTGGGCACAATATGAAATATGTAAGCCATGGAAAAAAAGGTCACTTGATCTGACTTGGTCTACCAGCAAACATATATACAGTAAAAGTTGCATTATCTGGCACCTTACAAACCAGCATGCTGTATTAACTGGCATGCCAGCTTGTAAGGTAAAACTGAAACCAGAAGTACCCACCATGGCGCTTCCAGTTTCACCAAGCCCCCACGGTCTGGGGCAAAACAACCTGTGTGGGGCCTGCCTCCCTGTCCCTTGGGGCCCATGGGAGGGGTGGTGATGTGGTGGGAGGGGTGGCAATGCCCTGGATGCAGCTGGAGAGGCAGCAGCCCGAACAGGCAAAGACTCCTGTTCAGGCCTCTCAGTTAACCGGCATATTTTGTTATCCAGCACCCCCCATTCCCCATGGGTGCTGGATAACAAAGCTTTTACTGCATACAGTCACTAAGGAGCAAATAATGAAATTCTTGCCTCTCACTAAGTTGATGGGAGTCTTGCCTAAGAAAGTACCAAATAAAAATGAAGGAAGAACGTTAGAACCTAACCTTAAGTTCATTGTACTAGTTTTCATTAAATGCTTATGTCCTTTCCTTGTTTTCCTTTTATTCTCAGTATTGCCCATATTGAAAAGACATGCTCATACCTTTTTGACTTGCGTTGGTAGCTTGATTCATTGCATCTTGTGCAGCTTGGCCCAGTGCATTTGCTGTGGTTAGAGAAGACATTGTATTTTACTTTGTTGTTCAAGCTTTATGCTTTCCTACATTCCTTTCCCTTCACCTCCATTAACTGCTATGCATAGGGTGGGTACAGAGGGGCATGTGCCCCCCCTGAGATTGGCCCTCACCAGCTGGGGATTGGGGGACGATGGCCAGTGCCCCCCCCGAGATTGTGGGGGTGCTGAGAGAACTGCTGGCAACACTTCCAGATTTTGCTGCTGGCACTTGTGCCAGTGGTGGTGATTGGCCACTGGGGGATCCAGTCAGCAATCGGCCACTGGTGCCCCCCAGTATCAGGAGGCACCACTGTATACTGTATACAGTGGAGTCGTATCTTACGCTGAAGTCAGCACGTAAGGCAAAAATCGCATATAGTTGAAATTGCCCTTCCTGCCCCACTCCTCGCCCCTCTCATCCTCCTCTGCGTCATCCTGCCAGGGCAGCCAGCTGAGCATGAGCAAGCTGTCGCCCCCCAGCTATGCAGGCAGTACCACGTGGCACAGCACTATGCGCGATGCCCTGGCCAGCACCTGGCGGCCAGCCCCAGCAGCCGAGTGCGTATAGCTGAATTCATGTAAGTTAAATACGATGTGACTCGACTGTACACCACAAAGTATACTGACCCACTGTCACTATACTTTGCTATGAAATTAATTTTATAAAACACAGAGCATGTTACTAATAAGAAGACAAAATGATAAAATGATATGATTAGCAGCATGTTGGAATTTTGCAGCATAGCTGCACATTGCTAATTTCAGTATTATTTTTATTTATGTGTTTTAATTTATTCTTTTGAAGGTGTTTTAATATCTGACTTGTTACCATCTGGGGCAAAAATGGCTTTGAAAGGCTTCTGGGCCTCCTTTCAGGATGGAAGGAAAGATAAACCAGGAGATGAAAAGGAGCATTTTCCCCAAAGATTCTAGAGGAAAAGGAGTTAAAATACAATTCAACAAAAATATATGGGAAAGTTGTATAGGAATGTCCCTGTAACTAGTAGATTAAAATAAAAGTTATAAGCAGTTTACAAAACACAGTTTTGTTTCAGTGCTCTTGGCTAAATAAAGTTGCCATATTAGTGACAAGAATTCTGTGGAAATACATAATGTTTGTGGAGGTACCTTTTTAAAAAAGTGGTAAGTACTTTTGGTAATAGGAATGATTGTAGTACAGTGGAAAGAGCCTTTAAGGGTAAAATCTAAAATTGTGATTAAATTATATTTACTTCCTAATCTCTTCTGAATCAAACATCTGTATATACAGCAATAGAAATTTCTATCTCTTGAGTGAAATGCCTTGTACCAGTGTATGACCCACACTGTTTTCAAGTTAATCTCATTGGAAAACTCTGATTAATGTATCATGAAACACAGATTTATTCACATGGAAGAATCTTGCAGGAAGACTCACATTTTTAACTAGTTGAACATTTTACTGACTGGAATTTTCAAGACTATCAAAACGGCATGAAGGCACCATAACTTAACTGGGCACCTAAATAAAGCCTCCAATAAATAGGAGGAGCCTAAAAGAAAGACTTTCTTAGAATATCCATATATAAAAGTCAAAGTCAGGGAAGATTTGCCTGAGATTTAAGACTAGCACTGAAGCATCTAAATCTAATTTTAAGTCATCAGCAAATTAGATTTAACTCGTACAGAGCTGTGTATACATATGGTATTACTGCGCATGAATAAGCTTTGGAGCTTATTGCTGTGGTGTTAATTGCTCCTGGGCATGCTGTTTGAACTTGTGGCTGGGAGCAATTAACTCTGGAGCAGTGAGTTCTAGAGTTTATTCATGCACAGCATGTGCAGCTGGGTTGGAGCAGCCCTGGCTGGCAGGAGGCCCTGGGGATCAGCCTGCCAGTCTGGGACTACTGCCTCTGGCTCAGCATTCTGTGGAGGGATGGCTGGGGCACAAGAGAGCTTCAGGGCAGGGCTAGCCAGCAGTCAGCCCCTTCATTGAAGCACCCTTATGCCCCAGCCAGCCCCTCCAGTGTCTACACGTGCACTGCTGCAGAGTTTTTTACTCCGCAGCAGAATAGTACTTGTAAGTACAAGTATTATTGTGTTTCAGAGTAAATTAGTTTACTCCAGCCTAATAGGGGTGCACGTGTAGACGCTGAGATATTTACTGTGCAGTTAATTAGTCAACTATGCAGTAAATGTCTCCAGGGCTCACATAGACATGCCTTAGGAGAAGTGAGGAAGAAAAAATGAAAGCAATAGTACTAATGAAGGACATACTCTAAAGGACAAGGTCAGATTATATAACCAGTTTTCAGATTGTAGAAAAAGAGCATAGACACTATTATTACTCAGAAGTAATATTAGGAGCAGTGGTTTTAATATAATGTTAATGAATTGTGTTAACAAACTCAGTTGTTAAATTACTTGGGAAAATGTTAATTTGTACACATCTTTAATGCATTTGGAACAATATCCAAGGAGGGATATTCCAAATCAATATCTCTGGAAACTAGGCTCCCAAAATATGTAAATGTAAAATATGGAGACATCAAACTGATCTGGCTTGTATGTATGTTACAGATTTGATCCCAATGCAGAAGAGATTTAGATATGCTTAATTTTAGGCACAAGACGAATCCCACTGAAGTCAGTGGGATTACTCATGTATTTAAATTACATGTACAAGTGCATGTAGGATTGGAGCCCTGGATTATATCCAAGATATTTTTCCTACCAGCAGAAAATCTTCTACTGGCTGCAAAATCTATCTAGCCTCATGATAAATTACAGAAACTTCTGCAGAGGATAAATAAATTTTAAAAAGTCTATATTTTAAGGAGGTATAAAAACATACAAAGATTGTACAAAAAATGTTCATCTCAGATTGAAAAAATAAACCTCTCATACACAATAGCAATATAGCCACCACTGCAATTAGGCATTGCAATATGAGAAATACACTTTATGTACATACTTTCTATTTAAATTCAGAAGTATCTGGCATTCCTAGTAGAGAAAAATACACATACTATTTTATTGATTATAAATAGTCCATTTTAACCAAGAAACACTAACATTCAGGAAAGCATTGCTGTTATTCCAGGTTTCAAATACACTTATCACAGGTAAATTATAGTTTCTTAAAGAGTGGAAATAGATGGCATCTTTCTTTGCTACTGTGCTGCTATAAAAAAAAAAATTATAGCAGCACAAAGGCCAAGCCAGCAGACATTCATGACTCCTGTTGCAGCACAAATGCTCAAAATTTGTGGCTGTGACAAAGTTAGTACAGGAAACTGTCACTATTCACGGTTTCAAATATTTGTGAATGCTGAACCCACATCTTAAATACACTTGAAGAGCTTGTTGGGAGCTTTGCACTTGCCACCACCAGGCTCCCACTGCCACTGCCGGGCTCCCACTATCACCAGCACAGCCATGCCTATCCCTGTCCCCCCCAGCCACTGGGGGCACTGT